CTTTTGATCATACAGATTAAATACATGCCATATGATGGACACCTATTAATGGTTTTCTAGTAAATTGATTATAATATTAACATATAACAGAATTTCTATTATTTACACTAATAAAAAAAAAATTAAAATAAAAAAGGTATACCCTAATACAGCAGCCAAAGTTTTTGCAGCACTTAAACCAATTCCCAAACAACCAGGAAGTCCAGGCCCCCGAGTAACAGCAACAACATCTATATCTTTTACCATATCCAATGAAGCATTATCTAAAGCTTTACAAATTATAGAAGGCAAATATGTTTGATGGTTCACCATTGCTAAATTTGGTACAATCCCACCAGAAGGTTCATGTATTTCATGTTGATGATGTATTGCTTCACCTAAAATTTTTTTATCACTATTTACAATTCCAACAGCTGTATCATCACACGAGGTTTCTACACCAAGAACATTAAAAGATGGTTTTGATATGTGTGTTGCATTAATGAATAAAGTTTTATATAAAATTCGATGTGTTTTCGAATATATCATGTATGCAGAGAAATTTTGGCAACGTCGACAAAACATTGTAAAAAAATATATATATATAGCAGTACTCGATATCGATCTTGGGATTAATTTATACCTAATGATAACGCTAATCAGCGAATTAAAAACATTTTGATTTTATTATCCAATCATATTGCAAATTATATTATCAATATCAAATCTAAAATCGAGCAAATCTACGAAATTCGTTTCACCAAATTGAATGTTCGGATATGCTGTTATTCACTGAGGGTATTGTAAATCGCCATATAAAATATCCCCTTGCTACCCAGAGTTTCACTGACCAATAAGTTATACATAACAAGCAGAAATTCTCCAGTTACTACACTTCTATTCCCCACCGTAGGCTGCGGAATGTTGTACAGTATATCCGAGTCGTTTATATTGACAGTAGTTATATGAACGAAAAATGCATCTTTTTCCACACATCAAAATTTCACGTTCACCTGATAATGGTAAAGATTCTTTATTCGTTTATGCTAGGTTAGTGTTTATATTAGGGTTAGATACTGTTTTATAGGATACTATAAACATTGTATTATAGTAAAATCGCTCGAAAAACTTTGATCGTGTTACGTTACACCTGATCTCCAACTATTAATTGTGTGCTTACGCAAATTTCTTATTTATTTCTATTATTGTCTTATACCATTTTAGCTTGCTTTTATACTTGATTTATATTTTTGGCCAAACGAACGAAAATATTCTTTCTAAAAAACATTCGTATTATTAACGTAAAGTTCATACGTAGTTTGCCAAGTTTCGACCAGAAGGTTAGTATTTTTATATATGGATTCAAAGTTAGTAAGATAGTTTGAAAAGGAACTGGAAGCGCGTCGTGGCCACAGTATGCGAAAGTTAACCAGACTTGACGTACGGTGGACGGCCTACTGTGAACATCCTTTCTTTTCTAGTTAAGTCAAGTATCTATACGTCTTAATAGGTAAGAAAAGATTTCGTTCGTGTGAAGTTGTTGAATTTACGCGACTAAAACCGAACTGACAAAAAAAAAATATCAGAAGGTTAACATTCACAGAGTTGAGTTCAAGAAGCAGCAGAAACTAATATTTGCGTCTTCGGAGTTATTATGACAGAAATATCAACCAGATAGCGACCTTTTTATGTCGAATCATTTGATATTGATCTTGCAGTAAAGATTTGTAACGGATTGCGACCAGAATTTGCTCTAGTTGCTACATCGAATTAGCTAAGCAATGTGCGGATTTTAATCCGGAAAAACGACATATTGAGGTTCGAGAATAAGAATCAGAGCCAACCGGAAATAGAAAAGGTGGAAAAAAAGAGAAGAAAAATAGCAACAAAGAAGTAAAGAAAACATGTTTGGCTCGGTTCCGATCAATTCACCGACAATCATTTCACCGAATGCTCATTTAGCCGACATCACATAGCGATAGGGTTAGGTTTAAGCATTTGATAAGTGCAGGTATATATTTTTACTAAATTTCACCTGGGGTGATGTCGGCTAAATGAACTGTCGGTGAAGTGATTGTGAAATAATACGGTCCCTGTTTGGCTCAATTAAAAATTATATTAAGAATAAATTGAGTCCGTCCTGGTAGACCGGGGTAAAATCGCCACCCAAAAAAGTTTCGAACATCACGTGACAAATATATCTGTCGTTATCGATATATATATCAGAGGTATTGATTATCATGTGTAGGGTTTGCCTAAATCCGTACCCGGCCCGTTAAAT